GAAGCTTCAGCTTTTACTCTGAAAAAGTAACTCCGATCGTCCTTCTGGCCTCCACAATGATCGACATCTATTGGGGTTAATGGGTAAAAGTGGAGGTGTGCGAGTAGGAAGGAAGACGTGGAAGGGTCGGGTCCTTTTATTATTACTGTTGAGGATTCACCCAAGGTCCCCAGCACTGTCCGAGCACCACTACTTTTGCCCGTCATTCCTAGAGTCGTTGCTAATTACTATTAGTCGAGGATGAAGTTACCGTGGATAAGAAGTAGTACGTAGTACAAATACTCCGTGTCTCCTAGAGGAGTGAGTGAACACTCGAATCATGGTAACCTTTTCAGGGACGGTGCGAATCATGTTGTAAGTACCCGTGAATGAAAAATATACAATCGCATTCAACGCCAACTCCTCGACGGTCGAAAAATGTTCTAACCCGCTTACATCGCTACACATTCCTATTGGATAACAGGTTTTCAGGATGGAACAAAATACAGTAGTAATATCGGCGTCAAGGACAACAAAATAGAAGGGAGCCAAAATTCATTGTTCGTCGGAAATATAGACATACACGCCAGCGAACCCTCGCGCCAATCAACAACGCAATGCAAGAAAAGGGAATAACGAGTACAGGATAGATATATATACAGTAAGGAAACAAACTCAATTCACATCTGAGCATCGGCTTCCTTGCTACCAGATGACGAGTGCACCCGACGGAGAAATTCCCCAGCCTTGGTAGCGCAATGACGGGCTTCATCCTTGAACCCCATAATCCACCCAATCATCAACACATCATGCGGCACCTTCTCCTCCACTACCAGATTGATGGATGTCTCATTTCCGGGCAGCTTTTGAAACTCTTCTGCCAGCTTCTTGTGATCTTGACAAAGAACCTCGCGACCGCCGGTAATGACCAACACCGGCGAGGGAACAACAAACGGATGCCAAATGGGAGCTACGTACGGCTCAACTTCTGGAGTAATTTCCAAATCGCCAAGGAACTGTTTGGCTCCCCAGGCTGGGAAAGAGCCTGGTATATACTCGGTTTTGTAGTTGGTGCTGTGCGTCCAGGCACTAGGGTCAACTGCAGCAGGTACGTCGCACCAAGGAGACCAGGCCCAGCTGCACTTTGGTGGTGGTAACAGATCTGGCCGGTTAAATTCGACCATATACCGGAGAAGCGCCAGGACGAGGTGACCCCCAGAGCTGTCACCGCTGAGTACGATTTGAGAGGGCGAGATCTGGAGGGTGTGAATGAGATACACGTATGCTGCGAGTGCATCCTGCAGTTGAGCGGGAAACCGTCCGTTGTGGTTGCAGGCGAGTCGATACTGGGGGCAGAGCATGTAGCTGGCGGGAGTTTGTTCGAGGAGGGTCTGGGCCATAAAGTTACAGGAGGAGGAGCGACCGTCACCCAGAATGTAAGAACCACCGTGGAGGTGCAAGATAATATATTCGCCATCCGGAAGAGAGGTGCCGCGAGTAAAGGGCTCAGGATACCAGGTGGCACCGATGGTCTCGGGTTTGACAGCTTCATCCACCATCACTCCGGTGTAGCACTCCGGGGCGGCAGGGTTAATCAACACGAATCGATCCGATTCGTGGTGTGGCTTGAGAGATAGCGGCCATTTCATTTTTAGGGCAGTAAAGGTACGGAGGAAAGCTTTGAGCATCGAACCGGTTACTCCTTGGTGATAGGACCAGCTGGGGTCATGGCGAAATCTGGGGTGGTCATCAGCAGGCATGTCGACAGATGGAGAAGGAAAGGAAGACGAAACAGACCGCACGGGTGCCATGGTTGAGGGTAATGAGAAGGTAACATTCAAGTAGAAAACCTTCTAGAACACAGTAGGATCATAAGGCTGGGTAAATCTCCCCGGCTAAGCATCGTGGCCCTGGGTGCCAAGCTTTATGGCCAAGCCGGGGGATCCACTACACTTTGAGGTCATCATGACGTGTATGCCCATTGAATTTACAGGCATCATCCCCTCTTCTAGGAGAGGCAAGTGGGAAACAAACAGATGGAACTATGAATCAGGCGCTAAATCGGGCTCGCACTTACAGACTTTATTATGATCTCATTCATCGAGAATACAGGATCAATTATAACTCCAGCCTTTGCAGCCTGGTCTCCAAAGCCGAAAGAGGCACCGCGAGTGGACCAAGGAAAAGCGCCAGTCCGCGATCAACGGCTAGACAGGGGGACACTGGCTAAGTTTGAGTTGATCCAGGCAGAGACATCCGCCCCCCGTTCCAGACGATCTCAGTGAGCCATGCAAAATTTGCCACAATTGCGGTCCTAACATTTCTACGTACTAGGTAACATAGACCGGCCGAGATAACAGAACGCGAAGAATTATGCTGACTGTCTGGTCTATGCGGGTGATCCGCACGGTCGCTGTCGCGATCTCTCCTCGTAAGAAGGGCCTGTTGAAATACCACTAGGCTAGAAACCTAAGTGAACTGATAACCGGTCTTAATGATTATGCTCAAAAGGACCTGATACTCGAGCTACCAGTGTCTTGTACTGCAGAATCCGTCTGGTCATCCGATACTCATCCAAAGTTCACCAGTCTGATGACAAGGTAAACGACAATTTCCAGTATATATTGTGATAGATGCATACTCCCAAAATTATCCTTTCTGCTTTCAGAGCTCGCGTAACACGCTTTACACCGCTACATGTCTCTCGACGTGCGTCACTTGTGCAACCCCGTCCTCCAAAGACTTCTCCTTGCCATCCCCGCCCACCGCTGCAGCGGCCGCCGCTCCGACATCGAGATGAGTATGATTCAAATAGATTTGCTCGCTGCGTGCGACCACTTCGCGGACGTTGCTGGATGACGAAAATAGAAAGTCAACTGACTCCAGCGTGAGGGACGACGTTTCCGGAAAGAACAAATACACAACCACACAGCAAAAAAAGTTCAGAATAGCCCAAATAATATACGTCCGCCAGCCGATGTTGTCGATCGTGACGGGCGCAATCTCCACCGTCCAAAACTGATTGGCCCACTGGAAGAAAACGGAGAGCGCCAGCGCTTTGCTCCGCACATGCAGTGGTAGGATCTCGGCAGGGTATGTCCACATGTTGGACATCCATCCCCACGTGAAGAAGGAGAGGTAAAGGAAGAAGAAGACGACGGTGATGATGATCGACACTTGGCTGTCTTTCCACAGAGTAATGCAAACCGCAATCATGCAGCACCCCATCCCGAGATTCCCTAGGCAGAACAGTCGGCGGCGGCCCAGCTTGTTGATGTAGTACCACGTCACAAAGGATGATAGGAGGAACCAGATCTGTGAGCAGCCCGACACAAGGTTCGCAAGATTGGTACCAAGTCCGACCGAATTCGTCAAGATGAAAGGGAAGTAATATTCCACAAAATTGATCCCGGTGTAGGATTGCATCGAGTTGGCCGCGCAGGCGATAATAACACGCGTACGCACCTTACTAGGACCTTGGCGGAACAAGCTCCCCCATGATCCGCCGTCTGATTCCAGGGCAATTGCCGAAGCAATATCCTGCAATTCAGCTTGGACTAACTCGTGGTCCACGGGGAGATCACGGAATGCAGATAGAGCAGCGGCGGCAGCCTCAGTATGGCCGTGGGAAGCAAGCCATCGAGGGGACTCGGGGAGCACCAAGGTGAAGCCAAAGGCGACGATGGGGTAGATGGCCTGCAAGGCGAAGGGAACGCGCCAACTGATCTCATTGTCAAGGAAGCCAAGTCCATAGTCGACCCAGTAGGCAATGTTCGTGCCGATAATAAGGAAGGTCAGCTGTACGGCTACCATGACAGCTCGCATCTGGGCCGTAGCGGTCTCAGCTAGCCAGACTGGGGAAGCGCTAGTGAAGAGCCCGAGGCCAACCCCAAGGATGATACGCGACACTAACAGTTGGGCGAGGGAGAAGGAAGAGGCGTTCACAACGTCTCCCACAATGTGCACAATGCAAGCTAGCAAGATCGTCCGTCTCCTCCCAATTTGCTCACTGATAAGCACGGCAGCCAATGCCCCTAGCATGCAGCCGATGTCATAGGACGATACTGCAAGCCCCTGCACAGCTGCATCTGGATTTCCAATCATGTTGAGAAAGTTAGGCTCTGAGATGACCTGGCCCATCAAGCCATTGTCGTAGCCGAACAGGCAGAAGCCGGTCGAGCTGACGACGGTGACCAGATAGACCAGGGGCTTTCCTCGTAGGGACAACATTATGGGTCCTATGAACAAACCCTAGCGCCATGTAGTGATCCTGTATTTATACTGCATCGATGGCAGAGAGCATGAGTTTCCCCGCATTGTGTTTCGTCATGGGCAAGGAGTAAGCCTACAGCCATCAAATGGTCTGCCCAGGCTTACCGCGTCGATCAAAGCTTAACAGCCAATAGCTGAGGTGTACCCATCCGGCACTCCAATGGGGATCTGATGCAGTAGCAACTGGAGAACTCGGCCCAACTCCGACTCTCCGCACTAACCCCAGATTCCGCCCCAGCCTGGTGCCCCCACGCCCCCGGACGTAGCCCATCCCACGTCCAGCTATCCAGGCGGATTTTGGCGCCATCCTTGCATACGTATGGTAAGTAACCATTTCCGTGAAAAGCCATATTGTTCACAGGCTTATCGAAACAACAGGACAGGATACTTGGCGGGGCAGTAAGGGGGTGGTCACAGTCACAGCTACTCAACAATACTTTTCACCCCTGACGCAGCACCGGCACTTATTTGGCATTAAGACCAATCTACTGACAGAATGGAAACCTATATGATACCAATTAAGGAGACACTTCTAGGATCATATCATGGGTCGGGCTCGTACTTTCCCCGATCGACAGTCCCGAGGTTCTACCGTTTGCTTTGAACCAGCAGCTGCGCCCCCGTAGCCTTGGCAATTTACTGGTAGATTGATACAATCCCCTGGCCAGCTTTGGGGGTTGAGGTGTGCCATTTACCCCCGGATCTTTCGGTCTGTTATATTCGCACTAGGAACGCAAGCATACAGGAATCGCACCATTGAAGACGCGTATTATAGCTATTGTGGACACAGTTGTATGGAGGATGTGGACCTTCTAGGACATATGGAGAAATTCTATGCCAGCTTCCTGCGGTATTGTTCACCCCATTACCGCATCCGTCCCTACGTCCCAGAAGCGTGATGTATCCATCCGCATTCCGAGATTAATAAAGAAATACACATAAAAGGTGCAAAACACTAGACCTTTTGCTAGTAGGTAAGCAAAAGATGTTGATAAGCTCATTACAGTCCCAACAAATAGCCCCGGCGTGCAGAACACTCAGAACACACCGACTTCTGAGCCGGCCCCACTAGGAGATAAGTCTAGTACTCCAGATCGTATGCCAAAGTATCCTCACATAATTGCTCGCGCATTTCATGCAGTCTGATTGACCGTTAGCTACTAGCAACTTCCCGACTGAGGTCTTCACAGCTCTAGGTGGACTTACTCAAGGTGAGCTGGGTGGGTTGCATAGACCTGCAAATCGGACGGCTTCTCCAGGATAGCCACCAAGCCCATATCGTAGCCCTTTGCGCGGGATGCGGTCATCGCCAATGGGGGATTGGCATGAAACTCCAGCAGTCCTGGAAAGATGTCACGTATGAGTTTGCCAGTCGTCACACATTCACTCAGGTAATTACTGACCTGGAATCTTGCCAACCATGCCTTTACCTAATAGGGCCCAAGCCTCGAGCTCAGCAGGTGCAACACCGGGCTTCAAGCGAAAGAGGACTAGGCAACATGTTATTGTTGTGAACAATGATACCCGGTAAATGATAAGATTGAGACGCACCGACGTGGAAGACAGGCATGACTGCGCTGGATTGACAATTTTATTGGCGATGTTGATGTGGCGACGTATGCAACAGAATGCATGAAGAATAATAGCTGGAGGCAGAAATGAGGGGGAATGGAGGAGGATGTGGCGGGGTAATAAAGAGCCTGAGGGATCGACCGCCATCTGACAAATCACATGACAGCTTAGTTGAAGGCTGACTACAGATGGCTGTGCCAGTGTTGAGAAAGGCGATTGATATGGGGATTAAGAGCGATCGTCTAGGAAGGTTCGCGTCATATGCTCAAGCATGGTATGAGGACGTACGGATAATGCAGACGTTATAGCAGTGACCTTTAGGATCATAGTCATCATCACTATTGGCAGACTCGCCAGCGCAAATAGGGTTAAAGGCAAGTTTTGGCAGTCTTGAAGAGAGGTGCGGCCAGCTGCGGTTGAAGGTTAGATTGCGACGCTACCAGAGATACACAAATTGGTTAGGGTGCCGCAATTAGTCGCCAACGAGGCTGAGTTATTCCCTACTAGTCCGGAGACATGATGAAATAAAATGGAAAATCATGAAATAAAAATAAAATAAAGTGCTGAACCTAACACATGAGCTTTCTTCGCACCAACTCAGTGCTTCTGGTCCTGTCCCTGGGTTTGGCTCCTAGATAAGCTACGTCTCAACTAGTTCATCTTCCACCAAGCCATATGCCCTTACTATTTCGGATAGGCAAAAGCGATACAACACCGGACCCACTAAAAATGGAGAGAGTTAGTGTTGGGCAAGATATTTCAGGTTGCCGGTAAATCCCCGAGATTTCTGCGACAGCATCTGGCTCAAGTTCAAGAAAGAGAAAGGAAAAGTAGACGTGTAGAATGTTAAGGGTATTTCCGCACATTAACGGGAACGTCATCAAAATCATTAGCCATTGGCGAAGGTTGGGAATGTATCATACCAGGCGTGTGGAGTGCACGTTACAATTTGTGTCCTTTCATCATGGTGGTCCCGTTTCTTGTCGCGCATTCCCTCACAAGTATGTAGATTGCTGTGCGGATAACTGCACCCAAAGCAAATGCATGGTTGAAGGGACTGTCAATTTGTTTATCTTCTAATAACACTATCTCAAGTCGGCGTTGGTAGGTGCCGTATGTCTGAGAGGGAATCCTACTGCGTCGGACCGGTGGCCATTTGACGCAGTTTGCAGTATTTGGGGTGTCAAGGGCTCTGAGGACCTCGTTGGGAATCTGCACTTCGTAAAGATATATGAATGGCTGTCAGAAGCATTTGTTACCAGGAGACGTGACTTGGTGACATGAGAATTAGCCTTCGAGTCGGCAAGGCAGGCCTAAGTAGAATTGATGACTTACAGCGTAGGTATTCTGGTGCTTAGGGTGGCGCAGTCGGCGCAGCAGCTGCCCGAGAGACAAAAGCACACAGACCAGATAAGGATCACTCTTCCAATCTCTCGTAAGGAGCCGATTTTCGCCAGCTGACCTATGGACCACTGGTGTGTGTCCCAGGCGCCGAGCTCGCCGTTCCTGATCATATTCTCAGCGGTATCCTGCCAGATCGTTGTAATCCAAGTATCCAACTAAGAGGTCGGCAGCACTATGCTCTGACTGGCTATCTTGAAGACGGCGCCAGAAAGTGGCACATTCGAGCCGATGGACAACTCGACCGGCGAAATAGAAGTTGATTCTTCCACTGCTCAGGGAACGGGTAAGTCAAATCCACTGCGTACGAGGGGTCAGTAGTAAATAAACTGCTTACGTTTTCCGTGTTTCTAACGGGCTACCTTCATAGTCAAGGATGTCGATCAATGTGAACAGCTTGATAAGAACACCACCACATCTTGCCAGACGTGCAGCATCACTACCTGAGTCATCCTTCGATTTCGGTTCGACAGAGGATAATGTAGATGTGTGGGTCTCGGCAGCAAAACTGGGCAAGGAGCGGATCTCCTCAAACTGGCATCCCAGTATATCAAGGTGGCGGGATGTCCATAGCGGGGGTGGAACAAGAAGACCCTTCTGCCGCAGAAGAGAATAAAGGGCAATCGAATGGTGGCTAGTCTGCATGGTCGAAAGATAAAGGCGTTGGAAGGTTGTTGCACACTGATGCTTCTGGGTGAACCAGCTGTGCAGTTATACCACACAACACGGAAAAATAGTTCATCCGGACTGACCGACTTAGGCCAATGCGGGCACAATCTTCTCAAAGGTTATCACACCTGCTCACAGATGTACCCCGGCTGTCTCCGCCAATTCTCTTTACTCACATATAAATACCATGCTTTCGTGGCTCTGCAGTGGCCGGCTTAGCTGGGAGACTCTTGTTTCCCAAGTGTAGAAGCATTGAGCCGAGCCTAGTATCATGTGTTGTAATTAATAGCTAGAATCATTGTACCTCGGTAATAGTAATAACGACCGTTATGGTGAAGTGTGTGGATGCCCCCAATCGCTTCTTTATATAATATATATGATAGTAAGCACCTTTACAGATGGCGCTCATATATCGGTGACGGCTTAGGGACTGGTATGAGTGACTCGAATCAAAGCTGGATCTAAATTCATATTCAGAATGATGCTGATACTATATCGGGAGCCCAATTCCTATGAGGATTTCGCCAAAATAGATGCAACATCTCTTTGATTCATCGCCTGCAAGGCACCTTGCTTAGCGAGGTCAGGTCATTATCTTTGCTGTTGATGTGCGGGAGATATGGTCGACAAAAGGTAATACCTACTGTGCGACAGTGCCTGGCAATTCAGACATCGTGGGCAGTCACTGGGGGCAGACTGGGGGCAGGCAATTCACTTTCCCTGATTCCCGACAGCATGGACCCTCCCAAGTTCATGTTCGTCTCACCCCTTTGATATGGATGGTGTTGGCACGAATCAGTTCTATTTTTATAGTACTAGTTCATGAGAATAAACTATCCATCCTACGCATCCTGCTGTGAGAAAGAATCTGACCATCCTGTTCCAGTCCTTCATTGCAGATTCTAGCCCCATCATCATCATCAAGCCTACTTGTTTCTCAACGGTTCTCGACATGACGAACGCCGCTTACATCGACAGCGTTGCCTCCCAATCCCTCTTTCGAACACGGTTTGAAACTGAAAAGGCTAAGACAATCTCAGAGCTACCTAGAGACCCTGCCACACATTGGGGTCGAGATGAACTATTTGCATGTCGAGTCATTTGCCAAAAGCAACGTCCGAGCATCCTTCCACTTCTTGAGGGTCATACTAGCCCATCTGACGCTCTAACCCCACGGGAATTAGTCAAATTCATCGAAGGGCCCCAATCTACCTATGTCTCCCAAAGCGAGATCTCGGTGACGTTCTTGTTTTCTCCTTTGTGCCACCGACCGGAGGTATGTTCATCTGGGCCTGCTTCTACCTGTCGCAGAACTCTGCCTTTAAGCAGCTACGGCACGGAGAGAACGTGGTTGATCCGGAGCAGACCGTGGCCGACCAGCTTTGGCGGCAGTTCGCCGAGGCCAAAGTAAGTAAAGTACAGGTCATTTTGTAGAGAATCCGGAGGACGTATTGACAATCACTTACAGGTCCTCCTGACCCCGCGGTCTTATTACCACCCCTGGGAGGGGCCGGACCCTTAAGGTTACAACCAACGCGCGCGGAGCCACACCCTCGACGACCAACTTTCGGTTTTCCTTCTCTATGACGACGGTATGAGACCCTGTCAAGACTTTCTGATTGAATGAGCTAACAGCGGTAAGAAGGAGGAGATGGAACGTGGTATTACGCGAATGGCTCAAGTGATACGGGCGTCGTGGAAGCTTGACCAGTAAGTAGGTTAAATCCGTCTTAGTAGAAAAGACAATATATAGTGCTGCATCAATACCTAGTCCAGTTTGTATAACAATTATAGACCATGGAAATGAAGCGTGGCATTGATACACCCCCTGGTCGCACAATTCATAGGTTTCACCCATGTAAGATCCAGGGTAGGAAGCAAGTTTCGCGGTCGGCGACTGCCTGCACTGGAAATCTAGCATGTCCACGCAGCATATCCACCCTTGCTTATCGGCCACACTATCTGTTTATCAACATATTACCAATCCACACAGACTGCGGATGAGAACCGAACCAAGCGTGGGGTCTTCCTCTCGCGCTCCTGGCTTAACACATAGCAGGCTACGCAAGGAAGACCGCAGTGGCCGCTATCTACCTTGTGGCATACGACGCGAAAGATATCATCGGGTCACATACCTTACTCGCAAAGGATATCCTACGGTATCTACCTGCTGAGATCACCATCATCGTATGCTTCGGGCTCCTGTCTTGTCACTCTCGGGTTTATATCATGGTACGACCGTCGTTAGCATACCCTCACGACCGCTCACCGGGCCCGGCCAGACTACCAAGCTTCGAAAATCCATTAGTTCATCATTTGTACTCGGCGGCGGAGCGTAATGGCCATAACAGCCTTGTTCAGTGTAGCCCCTCACTAAGTCTACTCGGAAATTGGCAACCGTGTCGCATTCGCGCATATTTATTTCGAAGGTACATGCGGTTATTGCACACCACTGCTAAAGCCCATTGAAAACCATGTCCGCAGTAGATGGTGAAAAGGGCTCCCACAGCCCATCTAGAACGGGCAAAGATGGAAGATGAGCGCTCGCGTGTGCCCGGGGATGTTGCAAGAGCCGCTCCACGATCGCCCTGCCGCGAATCGCGCAGGGCCACACGCACTCCAGCTCGATCAAGGATTGTAACGCCTGATAGACGTCAGTGAGGCCCGCGGCCGGCTGATCGTTCTGTGGGTTTTCCATGGTCCACAGCAGAATACCACAAATAGTAAGATACTGCACGCAGAAGGCGAGGTGATGGGATGGAGCCACCCGCTCGCGGATTAACTCTGCAGCCTGGATGCAGCTCCGCGCCGCGCTGATGCACTCGCTACTTGGATCGATGGGGGTGGACAGAGTTTGACCGACAAGAGGCCTAGCCGGTCACACATTCAGTCATCTCTGAACGTTGTATCGGGGCTCGGACGTTGACTGAGTGAAGAAACATACCGATACAAATTCATGATGATGGCTGAGTGAAGGATAAAGACGATAAAGCACATGGTGAGACTGGGTCCCGTCTGGATCCGGTTGGCGGAAAATCGGATCTCATCCGGCAGCTGCTGTAACCAATGCTCCAATTCATGAACCAGCCGGTCGACGGCCGGTCGCAGCTGTTGCCAGCGCGCTGTCCATGTCTCTCTTCGCACTGGCGGCGACCCGTGCAGGCGGTGCACCTTGGCAGCTATCCGACACAGGCGAGTGAAGGCGACGAACCCAGCCATGGGGGAGCTGTCCCCGTCGGCCGAGGGCAGCTCGCAGCAGCAATCATTTAGGTTGGCGGCCATGGGACGACCGAGGCAGACGGAAGTCAGGCTGTATGCAAGATCAGAATCAATTCTGTTTTTCTTCTTCTAGTACTTCATGTATTCCACTTGATCTTACGCCTTTCCCTGAAGGAAGGAAACTGAAAGTTGGGGGAACTACCAGTCGAGTGTAAACAGGGTCCACCATACCCTTTGGGCGACTTGGGCGTCGGCATCATGGTCGCTAGTGCAAACATGGGCAACCTTCTTCAGTACTACCGTTAACCTAAAAAGCACGAGTTCACTAGTGACAGTGCACAGGGAGTTTCTGACATATCAGGCTGGCGATATGGAGGCCCAAATCCTGGGCGATGCGGACTGCCTGACCTACCAGACGCCAGCTCTGGGCCACAATGTTCCAGCCGGCAGAGCACACGGCCAGCAGGCCCAGACACTGGGCTTGCTCCAGAAACACCTCACCGCTGGAGGCCCAGAAAAGCAGAAGAGCCTTTTGGTAGTAGTCAATGCCTACCAGGCTCGCAGCTCCGGGTTCGCGTGGCAGTAGCCCGGAGGCGCAGGCGCAAACAGCAAAGATGACGGAGAGGAAACGGCGTTCTACAGAACTTCCCGCAGTCATGGCGCGATACTGGGAAACGAAGCGAGTCTAGTCTAGGATAGGAGATGTATAGTGTAGCTGGTCAAAGTAAATTCCGACAAGGAGATCTGCTACATACTGGGGTGGACGGGCCAGTTCGTTCGCCGATGGCAGATAGGGGAGCTCGAGCCAGACCTGCCCATGTTGGAAGAAGGGCATTTCGATTGAGGCCTGGGGGATCGAAGCTTGAGCTGAATGGGGCGAGCGACCTGGAGACGGTGACAACCCCTGCACTGCCTCAATAACCATATTATTGGCTGCACCGCCAAGGTATCTGGAAGGAATTCATCAGCGATGCAACTCATGCTGTGATATTTGCTATTCATAAACAGACCGCAAACGCCCATACGAGTCAGGTACCATATGCCCGAAACGATCCCGCGATTTGTAAGATGTGGGGGTTGGCGGGGCATCTAGGTGATGGGTGCCAGGAATATCATCCTGCGTCTCCATGTCCTCTTCTGTTGGGAGGGATCTGGTCCTTGATTCTGACCGTGAGTCACAGTTCGAGCCCGAGTTAAGGGGTAATTCCGTTCGGTTGTCGGTGTCGCGAATAGCGAGGATACATTCCGATAGCGTCTGGGTGAGGCCCTCAAGCCGCAGTCCCAACGCCTCAATATTCCGGTAATGCTTGTCCAAAGAGCTGGCATCGCGTCGGCTGGCCGCCGCATTATTGTTACCGTTGGGATACTCGCATTCCTGGTTGCGCGACTGGCAACCATGGCATGGCTCCTCCCCGTCACATTTTACCTGCGAATGGGTCGAGATTAGCAAAACCCCGGAGCAAAGTTGAAGCAAAATCAGAGGTAAGTACTGAGACACTACCTTCTTCCGCCGGCAAGCAAGACACGCCTTCCAGACACGTCGGTCGGACTTTCTGTGCATTGGCGAAGCCATGAAGAATCAACGGTGAGACACAAGGGGGTGCCCAGCAGTTTCATCGCGGGGAAAGTAACTTTGCGGGGAGAAGAAGGGAAGCAAATCCCTAGCTAAAGTCTTTATCAGACTTAGGTTATCGGGGCAGTTGCTTATCACGGAGCTTATCATACGTGATCAGTGCATTGACTCGTAACGAGTTGGTCTGTTTCCTTGTCCATTATCTATCATTTCTCACGTTGATAAATGAAATGTCATTCGGTCGCACTCGGCCAAACACAACATATTCATCCGGGCCCTTCGTGAACTTGCCCGTAATTTCAGTTCAACGGCGATTTTATAAGCATGACGAGACACAATGTAATAATCGCTTACAATTAGCTCTAATAACAGATATTGACGATAGCTTCATAGGATTAGACTGCAATGCAACAGAGCTTGAAGGGTTCAGCAACTGAACCGGACCTCGGGCCGTGATCCGACCCTATTTCCCACTTAACGTTATATATACAACTATCATCTAAACAACCCGCAGTATTGATCAGCACTACTACCACTACTCGCAACCAACCACTGCAGATACCACTTCAGAAAGGATAGACCCACTTTTCACTACCATGGTCACTTCTATTGCTTCGCAAGGTTGTGTCCACAACTGGCAAGACGTGACTGCAGGCCTCACTAGAGCGTGCGACCGCGCGGCAAGGGCCGTCCATCGGACAGTGGCTGGATTTTCCGGGCTACTCATTAGCACGCACCGTAGCACCTCTAGGGCAGATGTACGTGTAGTCTGTCTCACATTTTACTCTCATCCTCAGTACTGATACTGAATTAGTGGGTATTGATTGACTGTGAGCATGGGGACATCGATGACAAGGCCATGTACCTGCAGGTCGGAGCCTCAGCTGGGATGTCACCCATCGGGCGTATTCCGGCCTCGGAGCCCTGGATGATGAAGTGCGCCTTGGACTGCGGCGCCCACGCAACAATGGTGCCTATGTGTGTGACCAAGGTCCGTCAAATGCCCGTCTCTCATGGCTGCCAATCCTTCCTCGTCTAAAAATCCTGTCAGGAACAAGCCGAGGCTATTGTACGAGGGTGCAATTACCCCTCTTCGCAGTGGCCCCAGGGGTTGCGGGGTGCAGGTGCTATGTTTGCCCCGGCTGCCTTCAATCAGAGCGGGCGAGAATACCTTACTCACGCCAACAACAATGTGGTCATTATCGTGCAGATTGAATCGCGGATGGCAGTCGAGAATTGTGCTGCCATTGCAGCAGTTCCAGGCATCGACATGCTCTTTGTTGGGCCCAATGACCTGGCCTCATCCCTGGGGTACTTTGCCTTGGACCACGCCCAGATTCCTGAGGCCCAGGAGGCCACGAATCGCGTTCTGAAAGCCGCCAAAGATGCTGGATAATATGCTGGTCACTTTGCCCTTTCGGCAGATGTGGCCGTGGCCAAATACCACCAGGGTTTTGATTTTTTCAACTCTGGAGCGGACATTGTCGCCTTGACTTCCTGGATGTTGGCAGAACTGACCAGGTTGGGCCGACTCACACAAATTAGCGCTGCAAAACCGAGCCCTCAGTAAATATGGAGTACTTTGGTGCTTTCTAAACGGATTTGGCAACCTTAATCACAGCGACTGATCCAGCACAGGATAGTATGTCTCTCTCTTGTTTCTTTCAGTGGCCTTTCTAATGTTGTAAGGATTAGGAATAGCTATAAGTTTATTTCCTTGTTTCGGTGGCCCAACCTCACATGATACGCATATTATTACTGCTAGGATCGTGACATCCTCTCCCACTGGAAGACCTTGTGCCACTCAGGTCCACGAGGAGCGGAGAATACATCGACGATACCATTCAAATTCATGCGATGCGATACCTCAGCTCACCACAGATAGTGCGGACTCCGGTGAGTAAACCAGTCATTGTCTCGGAGCTGTTATAAAGCTCATACCGGAACACAGCTGCACTTGCATTTGCGGGTACAGCATTGAACACAGGGATTCGCCCAACGTATGCCGATTATCCTGCCCATACCTCTACTCAGCTGTATTGCGCACCTCCCAAACTGTCATATCCTTGAAACCAAAATCCTCAACCGTGACGTAATCGGCTGCCTGAGGCCCCAGATGAAGAATTCTTCCGAATAATTTAATGATGTAAAAGAAGGCCCTCGTATAGGAGAGTGCCAGAATGAGGCTTCTCATGGTCCAGATGCCCCAAGCGGTTTCGGGATTAATAAGATGTGGCATACCAGGTGCCAATTGCTGTGCATCCTCGACAATAGGTCGCATTTGCTGATCGTACCGTGCCAAGGCAGATGAAAGGTCTGGGTTCTCTCCCTTGATGTAGGGTTGGAGGTAACCCGCTAGTTTATATGCCGCGCTAAAAGCCAACGTTGTGCCCAGACCCGAAATGGGTGATGCACAATACCTTTCTATATCTTAGTCGGGAGCATTTTAGGAACACCAGCCGACCACAGCTGTGATAGTGTAAGGGTCGTCAACTTACCCAGCGTCCCCCAGAAGCACTACCCTTCCTTTAATCCAGCTGTCCATCTTCACCTGCGATACCGCATCGTAGTAGAAATCATCAGTTGCCTTCATTCCCCGAATGATTCTGTCGCACTCCCACCCGGCGCCGTGAAAGTATTCCTCCAAGAGTTCCTTTTGCTCCTGAATGCCGCCACTCCCCTTCGTCGCCACATCGACGAATCTTGGGTCCTTATCATTGACCACATACATGAGGATGGTGGACCTCATGCCGAGACCGTCTGGTCGTAACATAATGGCTCGTCGACCAGGGGCATGGAACCACCGCCTCCAGTTGTCGTCGTGTTCCTCTCGCGGAATGCTGAAGAAGCCCGCGAACATACCCAACCGCTTCAGTCGGATGCTTTCCCCTTCTTCACCCCAAACCATCTTCCGCGTCCTGCTCTGCATGCCATCTGCTCCGACCAAGAGGTCGAAGCTTCTTGTTTTCCCGCTTCTAGCAAAGCGCACATGCACCTGGCTTCCGTGCTGCTGGATAGCCTCGGGAAAATCACCAAAAATGTACTCGATCCCAGCGGCGCCGTCGCGTTGTGCTTCCGCGCTAATCCGCCGGCTATTCTTCCAGCATAGCTCAGCCAGCTTACCCCTGAGAATCTCTATGTCGCTTGTTCCTGTCTGTATAGTACCGGTTTTATCTGCTGGATTCTCCGTCCAAATTCGATTACTCTCATCCACCATGCGGACCCCCTCTTCCCCCGTGGTTGAAGCTCTGATTTGGACCTCCAGTCCGAGCTTGCGGATGATGGTCACGCCTGCGCCACGAATATCAATGTTCTGACCACGCAAATGAGCTTTCTGGTTAGACTCGCGCTCCAAAATGGTTATCCTAGGCTTCTGGGTTGCGGGTATGTCGGCCAGCAGCAGAAAGGAGGCTAGTGTGGGCCCTGCAATGCCACAGCCGACGATCAGGATGTTCAGAGCTGCCATTTCGATGATAAAAGTATAGATAGCTATTGTATACAGAGAAGGATCAGATAGCCAAGACGAACAGAGTCTTGGGTGCCGTGAGAGTGCCAGGCTTCGGCCACGTGATATCAGCATGGCTGCATGTTTAGCGCCGTGCAAATTGTCGGTCAGGCCATGAATCCCTGTCCCTTGCAGTTTATTGGTAGAATGTTGAAATGCTTCCTTCCTGTAGGTAGCTCTGCTGTCTGAGAATGCTTTGACCCGTTAATCTCGTTCTAGTCTTACAGATTATATCACATCGTTTAGTGTGGCCCGTCTAAGACAGCCACCCTGATCCGTTCGCTTATCATCGGATCTCCATTCTATCTATCGCCGCTATAAGCAATTTGGAGCATTTAAATCCGGTCTTCCTATAGTGTGCACTAGCGCCTATGTGGGAAAATGGGCGACGCTCTCAGTCAGCGCGGGGTACCACAGGCTTGATTGCCCTGTAGCCCGTTCCTTCAGTTAGTAGCATGTGTCTTAGACTTTAGACACTGATCTATCTCAGTGAACAGGCACGACCGTAGCAGACTCTACTCGGAAAAGTCTCGTCGGATATATCTCAAGCAACCGTCATTTCAGATATTATAGACAATGTCAATGCCCGTATAAATCACAAATCTGCCTTCCCTTAAGCACTGTCTATACAAGTCAAAGTACTAGGTGCTATGATACTTAGGATGAAATCCCGTGGAAGTACTGACTATAGATATGCAATCATGTGGAAGTTTCTTAAGAAAGGAAGGAAACCTACCAGAACAACGGCTAAAACGCACTGTATGAGGCATTGTCTGATGATGCATCAATGACGATAGTGATAACTCATGCCATGAACCATCCGCGGATTAAAATCAATACATAGTAATCTAGCAATGACATCAAGGGGTCGGCTCCCAGACGTCAAAACTTTGGCTTCTAGAATTGGTAATGTCAAACTATAACGGGGGCAGGTGCCGTATGCTGTCATGACAGCCTTGTGCCTGCATTTATCAGCTACACTATAAGTGTGACCATTGTACTCCATATTTTTCCCCAATTTGCGACTATCGTTGTTCTTTATATACACAAAGAACAAGTCGCGGGCGTTGCTGGCCAGCTTGTCAGGCAATAGCAACTTTCCTTTGGGTTAATATCGCCTGTTGCAGACATAGCACTTCTTCAAAACATGACCATATTTCCTCAATCAAGTTCTAATAGCCTCAGGCTGGTGGCGTTCGAGATACTACAAACTTTCTCGATACTAAACGGGGTTTAACCCCACGCAACATAGCCGGTAAAGGCCACCCAGCATTTAGTTCAGTCTTTGGCATGGACTGAGTATGTCACTCAGATATATCAACATCTTCAACAGCGATCGATGACAAAGCCAAGGGAGGCAGTGCTTTGCCGAGAGCATTAAGATATGGTAGAGCCGGGATCTATCCAACTTTAACCGCCATGATGACAAGCTCACTGGCAGCACCGAGACTTGGCCACCCTTACATATCTCATCCATAACGATGTCATAGAATTTAGTATCAGAGGCAGCCGACGCAGAAATCTGGATCACCATTTTTGTCCATAATATTCTGTAAAGCGGCACAGTGAGACCGCGCGGAGGTTGAAGTCTGATAGGCTTCTCCCTTCATGGTGCACCATTGTACCATGGTTCACTCTTCCCAGGGAGGTGTATGGCACAGCCTCAATACATCAGTGGCTCTCGAGACCTATGTATACACCATAAGAACAACGATACAATTTTGTGTTCAATAGCTCCATTCATTATTTCCTTCCTGAAATGCTGCAAACATGAGTAGTCCCGAACTTGACAACTCGGAGGAAACTGAGAGCCACGCTGGCCTCGGAGCGGAAAACGGGCCCGACGGCGGCAATTGTTTTGCTTTTTCGCCAACCCAGCTAAACGACTTATTCAATCCAAAATCGCTGGAAGCGTTCTGCTCTCTGGGAGGACTTTATGGACTCGAATTTGGGCTACGAACTGATTTGGCTACCGGGCTACAGTCGGATGAGTCCGTTCTGTCAGGACGTATTTCGCTCGAGGACGTGAAGCAAGTCGCATTAGCAAAGACAACGACATCACAACGACCGCTCCTAAGCAATCAATCTCGTCTGGCCAGAGGCAAAACACATGGCCTGCCATTCCACGATCGCATAAGGGTATTCGGGCGCAATGTATTGCCAGTGACAAAACGAAAAGGATTTGGAAGATTGCTATGGGATGCCTACAATGACCGAATAATTCTACTTCTCACAGCAGCTGCAGTTGTATCACTGTCGCTAGGCATCTATGAAGCTGCTAGCGGGCAGTCGCAAGTAGACTGGATTGAGGGAGTGGCTGTTTGCGTGGCAATATTCATTGTTGTCTCGGCCACGGCAGTGAATGACTGGCAGAAGGAAAGACAGTTTGTTCGTCTGAACAAGTTGGTACGCAGCATCCCACAAATCCCGCTTTCTGCATGTGTCTGGGCTGACTGGAGTAGAAAGTCGATCGTGAAGTTCGCGTCATCCGCTCGAATCAGTCCATCATGGTTCATATCCATGATCTGACGGTTGGAGACATCGTGCATCTCGAGCCTGGAGACTGTGCACCAGCTGATGGAGTGGTAGTGACATCTTATGGGCTAAGGTGCGACGAATCAATGGCGACAGGCGAGTCCGATCATGTTGAAAAACATACGGGCTTCGAGGCTTTCGATTGGATTGCCGCCAAAAGCTCAGCTGAAGACATGGATCCATTCATCATCTCGGGAAGTAAGATCCTTGAGGGCCTGGGGACTTATCTGGTGCTGAGTGTCGGACCTAACTCCACTCATGGGCGAATTATGGCTGGTCTTGCTGTCGAAAGCGACCCAACGCCTCTTCAGGTCAAGTTGAGTCGCTTGGCAAAATGGATAGGCTGGTTCGGACTTGGGTAAGGCCCACTTCCAATGACTCTTGCTCTGGCTATGACGAAGTACTAATCAGGCCGCTCGACAGGGCAGCTCTATTGCTATTCTTTGTACTTCTGTTTCGCTTCCTAGCTCAGATGCCCGAAAACGATGCACCGTCCACCGAAAAAGGTCAGATCTTCATGGATATTCTCA